GCGTCGTGAGTAATGGGAGCTTTCTTCTTAATATGGCATTGTGGGTCGGTGTTTCTGAGACTCTGAGGGATACTTATGTCCATGTTGAGAAAACAGGAGCAGTCATTCCGGGTTCCCCGAAATTAATTATGTGTTCACCAATGAGAAGTCTGTCTGTAAGTTAAATAATTCCAGCGACCTTTAAGAGGGAAACATGTATGTTGACACATGTGTGTAGTCACTCTCTTCTATAACTCAGTTGATAGACCAAAGAGTATAAGAACAGGGACACATTGCCATTGAGTTAGAATTTAGGGAGGGGTTTCTGGTGGACTCAGTGCAGATTGGATTAAATAGGACTGTTAGAAAAATTACTTTACAGGTCCCTTTTTGGGAGAGTACTGCATTGTTGCTGTAAAGTAGGAAAATACTCCTTTCCACAACCCTATTGTATAGAGATTCAGGTGGGCAGCAAGACCAAGCTGGGGGAGAGTGGCTAAGATTTCTCAAGCTCTTCTTATTTACAGGCACTGCCCTAGGCATTTGAAAGTCGTCAGTTCTCTGCTTAATCTAATGAGGTGTAGATACTTTGTTTTTTTAATGGATGGGGAAACCGGGGTCTCACATCTCAGTGTTACTGGGATTGAAGTCAGGAAGTCCGAGTCCATGGCCTATGATCTCATCTCAGAACCCCTTTCTTTGCCAGAGATAAAAAATAATTATAATGCAGGTCCAGGAGTGGATGAGCAGGTTCCCGATGCGGGTTAACTGGCGTGCACCCGGGCTCCCTCCTGACTCAGCGGGTTGTAGTCCTAAGCCAAGAGCTGAACACAGCCATGATGTATGTGTGGAGTTGAGAATGAGCCTGAGACAAAGTTAGATATGGAGGTGCTAGCCTTCGGCAGGGACTCTCTGCAGCCCAGATGTTCACTGCCCTTCCTGCTGCCTTCCATCTCCGGATGCGCAGAGTAGGGAAACCTTCAGCTGAAGACCCTAAAATATGACTCTAATCTCATGCTGACATGGGGGAGGCACTTAAGCAGAATGTATGCTGATGTTTGATCAGATTCTAGGCTCGAATAGTGATACAGGGGACTTAAACTGTTGCTTATGAAGAACTATTCTTTATAAAAAAGTGATTTTATGTATATATATATATATGTGTGTGTGTGTGTATATATATCTATATATATATATATGTGTGTGTGTGTGTATATATATATCTATATATATATATATAGATATATATACACACACACACACATATATATATATATTTAACAAAGTAATTTGTTTATTAAAGATTTCCTGTGGGAGAAGGCAGTACATTTAGCATTTGCTTTGGCTGGCAGTGAAGTTGAGGAAGATATAATTTTAGAGAACCAAGAAATGAGTAATGAGTGGGGACACAAGATGAGATTAAAATGAATAAGGAGCATTTAGTGTTAAGGAAAGAATGTCAGGAAACTGCCCTGGTGGAATTGAAAATGGTTTAAGAGGTGTCAAGAGTGGAGCAATTGTTTCTTCAGTCATTCAGTACTGACTGCGCTTTGACTACTTGCCGTAGTAAGCAGACCGAGAGTCCATAATCTTAGAAGGTGATAAGTGCTATGGGGAATAAAACAGAGCAGGGTGTTGAGGGCTGGGTGGGCCAGGAGTGACCTGGTGCTGGTGAAACAGAAACAGAACGACCCGTTCTCCTGCCATTATGACAAAACTAGATCATAGCAAAAACTCCTGCAACAATTGGTAACTTGAAATGCTTTCTATGTCTTATGTCAAAGAAATCTAAAATATTTTGAAAAAAAAGGGTATTATGAATATTATATTTAAATTGAGCTACATATTAAAACTTAGACATAAATATAATATGATGTCAATTATAAGAGGTTTTACTCTGTTCTCTGTTACTTAGTTCCTGCTACCTGAAACCAGGTGATGTAAGAGTAGAGATTTATTTAGCTCATGGTGTTGGTGAGGGTCTTCTTGTTGGCAAGGGCTCTCTGCAAAGCCGTGAAGTGGCCCAGGGTCACACGGTGAGAACAAGAGTGAGCATGTGTCTGTCAATGTGTCTTTGTGTCCTGTCCTGACAAACCCACCAGATTCAGACATGAGGACCTCACCCTAATGCCATTAATCTCAGTCACCTCCCAGAGGCTCCACTTCTGAGGCCCGGAGTTGGATTAAGTTTGCACCCTGTTAATCCCATCACACTCACATCACATCACATGTATTTTGGGGGTACACATTCACACTTTAGCATATGATGATTCACCATTTTCCCCATGAGAAGAGCCAGATAAAAGTTTTGAGGGGGATTACCATGGATGTAGAAATGTCCTAGGGATGTTGCAGATACAAAGCGATTTTGGAGATGAGGACGGCCACTGTAGGAGAGACTGGGCTTGTAGGAAGTGAGGACGGGAGGAATCCAGGAGGATGGGATCAGCCTGATTCTCTCGCCGACTTCCTACCGTGGGACCTCTTGCTGGCTGCGTTTCACTGGATGGGGTCCAGACAGGTCAGCCATCTGAGCACAGGCAGGCAGGGGGACAGTTAGGACTAGGAGGGGTGGTCCAGATACGTCAGCTGTCTAAGCACAGGGAGGCAGGGGGACAGTTGGGACTAGGAGGGGTGGTCCAGATACATCAGCTGTCTAAGCACAGGGAGGCAGAGGGACAGTTGGGACTAGGAGAGGTGGTCCAGGCAGGTGAGCCGTCTGAGCACAGGGAGGCAGAGGGACAGTTGGGACTAGGAGAGGTGGTCCAGGCACGTCAGCCGTCTGAGCACAGGCAGGCAGAGGGACAGTTGGGACTAGGAGAGGTGGTCTAGGCAGGTGAGCCGTCTGAGCACAGGCAGGCAGAGGGACAGTTGGGACTAGGAGGGGGATATCTAGCACACACTATACCCACTGTCAGTCTTACCTTGTTTCGGAGTTCTAGCTAATGCGATGAATAAAGAATAGATTTGAACAAATATTTGAAAGAACTGGTCCATTATTTGAAGATGACAGGATTATCTAATTTCGAAAAGCAAGATAATAAATGGTATTAGAAATATAGTTACAAAATAAACATATAAAATGGAGTCTCAATAAATCACTTATAACCATTTTGAAAAGTGAGGGACACATACTTGTTTGTATTTGCCAAAAATTCTAATATCTCAGAATCAATTTAATAGGGACTATGTAGGATTTGTTTAAAGACGATACAGAAGTTATTGAAGATCATAATAGATGATTGGAGTAGGTGTTGTTTTATGAGAAGACTGAATATTATAAATGTGTCTGTCAAATTGATTCATAAATGCAATGCAATTTAAATCAAGTTCTTGCCTAATTACTCTGGCTAGGCCTTCTAGTACTTTGCAGAATAGAAATAGTGAAAGCAGTCATTCATGTTGTATTCTTGAATGTGGTATTGGCTGTGGGCTTTTTATATATGGCCTTTATTATATTGAGATAATTTCCCTCTATTCCTAGTTTGTTGAGAGTTTTAATGAAAGTGTTGAATTTCATGAAAGTTTTGTGAAAATGTTGAATTTTATAAAATACTTTTTCTGCATCTGTTGAGATGGTCATATGATTTTTTAAAAATCCTTCATTCTGTTAATGTGGTATATCATGTTAATTGTTTTTTTTTTTAATATTGAGCCATCATTGTAACCCAAAGATAGATCCCACTTGGTCATTGTCTATGTTACTTTTAATGTACTGATGAATTCAGTTTGCTACTATGGTCACACACTGCCTAGGGACATTTTGATCAACCACAGGTCACAAATATGATTGAGATCCTATGAGATTATAATAAGCTTTGCCATACAACCTAGGTGTGTAGTAGGCTATACCATCCAGGTTTGTGTAATTACCCTCTGTGATGTTTACCCAATGACAGAATTTCTTAATGACACATTTTTTAGAATGTATTCCTGTTGTTAAGTGACACATGACATATTTTGTTGAAGATTTTTTTGTGTCTCTGTTAATCAGGAATATTGGCCTATACTTTTCTTGTTATTTCTTGTCTGGTTTTGGCATTAGGGTGGTGCTGGCCTCATAAAATGAGTTTGAAAGGAATTGTGTGTTCCTCTGTTTTTTTTTTTTTTTTAAATTACTTATTTTGAGGGCCAGCAGGTGGCATGGTGGATAGGTGCTGGATTCCCTATGGCTGACTCTGAGGATTGAATCCTGGACCCAGCAGCTTGAAAGACACTCCAGGCACATGTGCATGCATGCCCCCAAATCCTGACAGGAGAATGGATTGAAGCCATTCTCCCGGGGACCGATTTCTTACTTTCCCTCTGTCTCTGTCTCTGTAATACAAGAGTAAATGCCCTATGGCAAAAATCTAAAAAGGAATTATTTTTCGGGGTAACTTTAGGTTCACAGCAAAACTGACAGGAAGTAGAAATACCTCTCTCTTACACCCCATCTCCACATGTGCATAGTCTCCCCAACAGAGCAGTACATCGGTTACAATTGACTAACCTATACTGACACATCATTATTTTCCAAAGTTCATAGTTTACTTTAGGGTTCACACTTAGTGTTATATAGCCTTTGGACTCTAGGTCTGGACAAATGTATAATGACAGGTATCCATCAATATGGTTATCATACAGAATATTTTCATTGCCCTAAAAATTGTCTGTACTCTACCTGTTCATCCCTCCCCATCCCTGCAGCCTCTACTAACCACTGATCTTTCCCTGTCTTCATTGTTCTGTCTTTTCCTGGATATCATATAATAGGAATCATGCAGTTTATAACCTTTTCAGATTAGCTTCTTTTACTTGTGTTTGTTTCCTCTGTGTCATTCATGGCTCAATAGTGTATTTCTTTTTAGCACTTAATTATATTCCACTGTCTAAGTGTACCATAGAATATTTATCCATTTATTTACTGAAGGACCTTGCTTGCTTCTCTATTTTCTTTGTGTAACTTCCGTAGATTCTTTGTGTGTGTGTGTGTGTGTGGTTATCTTGAAACGTACATAAAGTA